GCGCCGTTACGGAGATATGGCCGTTCAAAGTTTCAATGGTTTTCCATAGACTTAAGCTTTAAAGCGTTTCATCGGCAAAACGATATATCGGTCGGGCTCTAAAATTCAAGACATGATGGCAGAAAATGTATATATTTATACCACTTCAGTTTAAACTTATTGGAAAATATTAATTTATATCAGTATAAACTGACCACCACACAGAATATGAAGAATATTAAAAACGTTAGGAGTCAGTTGTCTTCGGCAGTCCTTAAGGTACCAGCACAATAACACACTCAGCAAAATATCGTCTAATTATCGTTATCGATAAAATCCCAGAAAATATCGAGATATAATTTTTTGTCAATATCGCACACCCCTAGTGTGATGTTTGAAATCGTAAGAAAGCAAAGCTTGCGTTCTCTCTCCTCTGCTGTTTGAACATCTGCTGATAAAGTGGAGTGTGCCACCTATAAAAAATGGGGACGGCCGAGCAGAAGGAGAGATGTTTGCCTAAACACAAGGTCATAAAACGCCACCCTTACTACATCTGTCAGAACGCAAAGCACAGGACCAGATGTTTCCATCGCAAGCGCTGTTTAATTTTGGCACAGGGCAGCGGGATTAGTTCATCTGTCTATAGCTCTGTCTTATAGCCTGTGATCAATAATTCAGAGAGCCCATGAGAGACCAGGCTGTATTACAGCTGATGGGAACCGAACACAACTGCAGAGGCCTGGCGAATCACAAGAGGTGATGTGAGAACAATGATAATGTGGATTTGAGAGCTCTACAGTAGATATGGAGTAGTTGTGAGCTCTTGAAAGATGGTGGTCTGAGTTATTGAAGACGGAAACAATCACAAGGGGGTGAGATGGAGTCCGAGTGAGATCACGGCCTTTCACTTGAGGAAAAACACAGCAGTGGGTCTGCTTCAGATTACCTGATTAACTGGACGTTTCAATAAGTCCATTGAAGCCAGTGTACAGCTGGATTATAGACGGAAAAAAACATCTGCTTTGAGCTTAATCTTGTGATAAGGTTCCCTTCCATTGCTAGGTCAATTGCATGGAAAACCCTGAACAAACATTAGCATTCTGTGGGAAAGTTTACAGGTGCCGTTGGCAATCTTGACAGACATTCTTGTTGTAAATGTATGCATCTTGTATGACAATTCAGAAAATCCCTCATTAAAATTAATACATATTCATAATCATAACACGCCTCTTGTCAAAAGTTACTTTAGATTCAGTGATGTTCTGAGTCTGAGAGTTGGCATGTCAAACTAGCGCAATCTGAACACAGATAAACTTGTATCTCTTAACAGATGCAACAGATGATCTCCGCCATACTGTCGAATATCACTGTAAATTATAAAGATCTAAATGCACAATATCAATGGGATATTATAAACCTTCTCTCAACATAACAATTATGAAATACTCCATTACTTTAATGCTTCATAATCATTTGATTATTTTCTTTAATTATTTGGACTTTGGACACAAATCCTAAGTTTAGGGGTCAGATTCACAAAACTTTCTTAAGAATTAAATTCTTCATAACTGCTATTTATATACTGTCAAAAACATGTTCTTATCTTTTTTCTTAAGATGGTTATAAAGACAAAATTTAACAAGAGTTTGAATTCCTGAAAAGAATTAAAGAATTTAAAAAAAAAAAACATCTTAAAGTTAGGACGTCTGGTCTTAAAATCTCCAAAGTTAAGAATACTAGGTATTTGCACGAATATTCTGAAGTGACACCATTGATTGATAATGTAAACAAAGATTGGTCATGATTATGCTGAATTTAAAATGTATTAATTTTTTATTTTATAATAACAACATGAATTCAGCAACATTCAGCATATATGAATGTCATATGTAGGGGAAAAAAAGATGAAACGCAGTAACTATTTAAAAGATGAATAACGCAAATAACTATTTAAAGCACATTTTAAAATGCGACTCTGGGTGCTGAACTTCCATTAAGTCAGTCGTGATGAATATAGTGCATGCTTTCCACAGCCTAGAGGAGTTGATAACACCAGAGCTAGTTATAGTCTTCTTAAGAAAAAAAAAAAAAGATTCTCTTAAAAACCAAAAATTTTTGAGAAGTTAAACTTTTTTCTTACAATCTCACAACAGCCTCACAAAATTTGAATTTATCTTAGGAAATTTCTTAACTTCTGATTAGACAAACCACAGAAACAGCTGAGAAATAGCCAATATACATGGATGCATGTCCTCACATCAGTTTAATTCTATCTTAACAGAACAGGGACTCGTCCAGCTCTATATTTTCACATTACTTCATGTTGTTTCTTCTCTATCATGTGTAAATAATGTGAAGCAGACCTGCCTAATTATATCTGTGCAAACATACGTACCACAGTATAAACAGAACAATGAAACTTCTACAGACTGACACATTTTGACCATTGCACAGTATATGCTGTCATACCGTGCAGCCCTAGTTCCCAATGTTTTGACATGTAAGATGCCGGACTGTCATTTGGGAATGCTATCAGCTGTGGCCATTCTCTTGTAAGCAGAAGACACACAGTCCTTATTCGACACCAGAAAAAGCAGGTCAGCTGCATTCATTCATAATTGGGTATTCAAACAGTTATCTAACCACAACTAGCAGTTATGCATGAACACATGCAAGCACACAGAGAAACGATGAGTGACTTAAAACAGGCTTGTTAACACTGAGCTATTTTGTCCTGCTTTGGTACAACAATGATAACGCAGTGATCAGTGGTGTCATTCTGTCAAAAAAAAAAAAAAAAAGAGTATGGTGGAAGGAAAAAAAGTGGAACCGAATGAGACAGCCATCTGTCCACCGCAGCAGCATTCAGCTGAGCATTAATACCACATGTGCGCTCTGCCTAACACACCACTGCCTTCTTTTTCCTCAGAACATGCCAGACGGAAAAACAGACAACAAACAACAAAAATGTCTGTGAATTAGCACATGCTGCCTCAGTAGCATCCTGATGTACTGCAGAAATCCCTTTTCAATATACTGTAGTCAAACATAAAAGAGCTCTGTATATCTGCCCACTAGAGACCCAATAACAATACTCAAAAATTATGCAAGAATAGTTTGATATTGTTCAGTTCACTGGCGAATGCTTTTCAAAGTACAGAAAATATAAAGAAGCTCTAACATTATTGTTAAAATAAAGAAATTAAAATTAAAACAGAGAAATTAAAATAGAAAGCACTACAGAAATAAAGCTCAAAACAGATAATGTTGTGTCATTTAAGTAAGAAGAATTTGCAACAAATTATGCATTCAAAAGGAAGGAATAAACACAAAAACCTACAAGATGAATAATTTCAACATTTGAATATGTCTGTATAACTTCACAATTTTAAATATGTACATTATACAACTGAAAGCGCTGTGAACTCTTCATGTCTCAGCATAATTGGGAAGTTATCTTCAGTAAGACAGCGAGGGAAAACTGTGACAGACCCTGTGCAATATCATCATTCTCTCTCTCCTCCTACAAAATCATTTCAAATCTGAAACTGAATTACAGCTCGGTTGCAAAACCCATCGAGCTGCCTACCTAGACAGCAGTTTTGGCATCATAGGCAGACTCCTGACAACAAGACTGTTCCAAAAGATCAACAGCAACATCATGCTGCCTTCTAAGAGTGTGTTGTCAATTATTCGGTAGTCTTGATTCTTTTGGTCCAGACCAAATAGGTAAATTTAGATTTAGTCCTCGTTTCAGAGCATTTACACTGCCATTTTTAAACACTGAACCTAAAGCTACAAAACAAAAGGCATAAATATAGAGTAACTACCTGATTGGACAGTTTTCATTACGTTTTTTGATGGAACTTACACCTGTACCTAACTGTAATGGGTAATATAACTCAGAAGAACCAGGAATGATTCACCATCACATCCTATTTTTGGTTTGTTTAGATGTCTCTGGTCTGTGCTGCATTCATATTTCAGTTGAACCACGATAGTTTGTCTGGAGGCAGGCTAAGAGCTGAAAGAGGGAATATCTCTGTCTCAGCCACTTGTTTGGTGCGAACCAAGGTTCAGATGGCAGCATTCACATTTATGAACCACACTAACAGAGGAATAGCACCAGAGTTTGTTTTTATCAAACCAAATCAGGCAAGTGTGAACCCTATGCTCATGCTCATGGTGAAGTCAAACCCAGAATGCATTGCAATAATTTCATTACAAATCATTTTAAAAATCATAATTTTAACAATCCACAAACAAGTATTTAATCTTTTAATTCTCAATGGAATCACCTGTGAATTCCCTACGTATCATGCAATGCAAACTGTAACACCTACTATACCTTGCAAGTGACACAACAAAACTACAATGCTTCCTTTATAATCATCAAAGTGTAAACAGAATAAGGCTTCTTTTCCAGTAAGGACAGTTTTGTTGATAACCAGAATGTTTGTGAGAGTGCAGAACTCACACATGGACTGTCAATGAGTTCATGCTGAACTCCAGAGCTCTGCATTTTAATGTCAAATCTATTCATTGAAATAGTCATGGGAAATAATCGACTGATATTGGTCATAATCATGCACTGCTCAAAGTTCAGAGTGTTTGTTGATGACAGGACATTGGGTGACCTTTATCTGGGTGCGTGAAGGGAGGGGATCTGAAATAGGGCTCAAGTTCAACATGGCCTTAATGTCTTTCAGCTGTGTGCAGAAATGTGAATTCCTGCAGCTATCACATAAATCTCCACAAACTCAACCCAGTTCACATGCTCTCTGGTTTTTTTCCTTTCTATCACCTTTTCCTGCCGTGGGGTGCCGAGCTTATGCTATGGTCTTGTGGTTACCATAGAAAACAGGATGTGATACAGGAAAGGGTCTGCTGGATGGACAGTTGTAATATTTTCTCAAAATTACAGGCAGTGCAACTTTATGACACATGCATGTGCTCGTCGAGCAGGTCGGGTGAACCCTGAAACAAGAAACATGATTACTGGGACAATATGCGGACACACACATTAACAAACTATTATAGTTCATTTCAGGGTTGGGACTTGACATCATGGAGAAAAAAAAGCTTTCCATTTTTCACAATCATTACTGGCATTGTCTGTGTTTCCTTTCGAGAGGCCACTATATTTCTCAACAAGCAGCTCAAATTCTGAGGGCTGACGGTGTAAATCAAGCTAAATTAATTTCAGCTGTTTAACCAAAGAGCTGCAGACTCTAGTGCATGTTAGATGCCTGCTTTGGCTAATATTTCAAGTTAATGATATTAGGTGCATCATGCATATGCTTACTGAACAGAACAAATCAATATGTGACAGTATGTTTGGATGCACACAGACCACAGTTAGCTGGTATGAAAGAAAAAGAAAACTAATCACACACACCAGCTGAATAATAATATGCTTATAATGTCCCATGACATTACACGTATAGTCCAAATATTAAAAGAAATAGTTCACCCAAAAATGAAAATTTGCAGAAAATGTACTCTCCCTGGAAAAAAAGCAATAATATGGATAAAGTACTTGTATTTTAGCCGGGAGTAGCAGTTTTAATTTACAAACGTCATAATAATGGATTTGTTTCTAACAAACATGCAGCTTTGCACTTCAAAAACATTAATTGATGTACTGGAGTCTTGTGGATTATTGTGATGCTTTTATCAGTTTGTTCCTGATGGCACCCATTCACTGCAGAGGATACCATCAGTGAGCAAGTGATGTAATGCAACATTTTTCCAAATCTGTTTCACGGAAGAAACAAACGCATCTACATCTTGGATGGCCCAAGGGTGAGTAAATTTTCCTTTTTGGGTAAATTACTCCTATAATAGTATAATATAGGGATGTAACGATGCACCGCAATACAGTTGAAAATAGATTCAAATATGTGACGATTCAAATCGCTCGAGATATTAAACAATTCGCGATACAGTTGGGGGTAGGAGTTTATATGAATGTATCTCTGAACAGAAGTGACTTTCTGTTCAGTCTTTAGAAAAGTTTAGATGATATTTTCTTTTCATCTTGACTCTGTATAATGCATAAAGCAGCATTCATCAATTGATAGTTTTCAGTCACGTGACCGGCTCGAAGACCTGGCGGACAAGACTTCCATAGAACTTTTATTATTTTTTATTATTTTATTATTTATTATATTTAACAAGCCTGTCGATTTTCTGTCTATTAGATGGCCATTAGCAATCCATCTAAATCACCCACTGCAATATTTCAATCACTAAAAACAGCGGGACATTATAAAACATTTAATGTGAAAACACTTAAAGTGCCTTTAAAACATTGATATTAAAATATTTAATTCAGTACACACCTTATTGATTGATGATGGGTGTTGGAGTGGGGGTAAACAGTTTACAGTTTACGGTTTTACTGTTTTTTACTGTTTACTGTAACTGTTTAGTCAATTTTTGCTATTTAGTTTTTTTTTAATGCTATTTAAAAAAGACAGAAAAAAAAACTCCAGTACACTTTAATTAAAACTCCAGTACACTTCTGTATAGGGCTGGGCGATATGAGCAAAAATTCATATCTCTGTATTTTTTGGCTGATTTGCGGTATACGGTAGCCTATACATCTCGGTATTTTGTATTTGGATTAAACAAATAAAGTGAATGTAAGCATGTAGGCATATATTATGTGCAAAAAAGGGTTAAAATCACATTACATTGTAACATTGTAACATTACAATCTAAAAACAAAAATAATCCTTTTAAAGCAGAAGTTAAAGTTACTAAACTAAAAATGAAAATAATAAAAAGCACAGACGAATTGAGTATAAAGGCTATTTTGATTACCCCATTACACTTTACAGTTAGTGCTATCATACAAATACACTTACTGGTAGGTTTAAAATTCTACATATGTCACATTTATTGTCCAACTACAAATATTTCAGCAAAATGTATATTTTAGTCAGAGTTATTGTGCTCCTATTTCATTGAGCTCTGTCTGTTTGGCGCGCATGCGCATGGCGGCGCTCGTTCTAAATGAAGTCTGTGGAGTTTAGCGGAGAATCGCAAAGTAGAAATGTTGGTATTCGTGTCGAATTTTATTATATTATATATTATTATATTATAATTAACTATTGAAGGAGGAGTAATGGAATATAATTACAGTATTTTTTTGTGATTAAGCTATAGCGTTTATGCATTTCTAAATGTATTTTTGGCCATATCGCCCAGCCCTACTTCTTTATAATGGTTTTCTATGGGAAAACATTTAATATTAAACTTTGAGCATTGCGTTTGTGGTCCGCACAGAACTCTTATTTGACATCGTCCCAAGTTACTGTAACCGTTATATGCTACGCAAGTCTTTTTTTATGCCACGCAAGTCTACAGTGTGCGCGTGAGACAATGTGTTCTTCTGTTGTCTTTGACAGCTTTTAGATGCGCCTTTTTAGTTCACCATTATTGTTTTAAGACAATAATCGCACAACCTAATCGATATTCTATAATTAAATAAAATTATAAAATAAATAAATAAATCAACTAATCGAATATTTGAAAATCGTGACCCATCCCTAAATCAGAAATGTTTCTTGAGCAGCAAAGCAGCATATTAGAATGATTTCTGAAGGATCATGTGACACTGAAGACTTCTATAATTAAATCAACTAATCGAATACTCGAAAATTGTGACCCATCCCTAATAAATACCTACAAGCCATATTACATTTTTACCATGGTATTGAGGTGCTATATTTGTGGTTTTAACTGTGATTATCATTATCTAAATTTATGTTATGGAAGACCAATGGTTAAAAAAACACCTTAAACAGTCAGAATAATTAAATTTCTCCATATAAAAATGAGATTGCTAGAATTTTTACAGATATTACTGATTTTGACAATGAACATAAATCTACATCTGCATCCTAACTCAAGCTACTATCAAATGTATATTTCTAAGAGACAAAAATTTTTTTATTAAATGTTAATTAAAATGTAATTAATATTATCAGGCAACACAAACTTGTTTCTTAATTTGAAACGATATTACTCATTACTAGAACATGCAGAATTAAGAAATTATTTTTTTCTATTAAGATATTTATTTTGTTAAGGAAAAATGACTGGAGAAGTGTAAAGAATTCAAAAACTGAAGTGTGTAAAAAAAAGTGTTTGTCATGTTCTGACTATAAAGAATAGTTGAAAACCACAATTAACCATCTGGTTTTTACAACTTTCACATTGGAGCAAAAATCTGCCTTTAGAAATAAAAATTTGACATGTATCGTGATAATTATCGATATCGACTGATATGAAAAAAAAATATCGAGATAATTTTTTGGCCATATCGCCCAGCCCTACTTCTTTATAGTGGGTTTCTATGGGAAAACATTTAATATTAAACTTTGAGCATTGCGTTTATATTCTGGGTTCATCTGTTTGCCTGTACAAAGTCTGCATCATCAATAAAGTGTATACTGAATTTGGTCTTTAAATATCACTGTCTTACTACATTACTACTTAATGCAAACCTCATAAAAATAATTGGCGCTCAGTGGAGGAAAGCCTTGTTTATGCCCTCCATAACCTATTTAAGGGTGTGACGTCACGTGAAAACTATCAATAGGGTCAAGCGCTCCTGCTGTCAGAGAGTGTATTTGCGTTCTCATTCAGCCCGTGTGTTGTTTTTGTCTCGTTCAGATGTTTTATGTAGCATAATTTCACAAAGTTAAAGTCAGACCATCCTGTTTTTGTTCCAAATTTAGAAATGATACAATTGAATTTAGATTAAAAACTGCTCATTCAGCATGTATGCAGAATCTTTGTCTGGATCATGATTAAAAATGATAAATGATCATGGTAAAAAAAAGCCTTAGTTTGTTTATATGAAGAGATTTCTATTATTTGTGTTGTTTATTTATTTGATTTGGGGTTTGTTTTCAAATTTCATATTTCAATTTCACAAAGAAATGTTCAGCATTTCGTCCAAGCAATAATAAAAGGACATCTTTTCATTTATAATTTGTCTCAAATCTCAGTTTGTTAAAACAAAAAATCGTGAGAAAATCAGTATTGTGAATCGTATCGCATTGTGAGTTGAGGGAATCGTTACATCCCTAGTATAATAATAATAATATTTGGGTTATGTAGCACCTTGAAGCAGTTTAAATGTGCTATTCATTGTCTGGACTAATTAAAACAGTGGCAAAGCATCCCTCAAACTGTATTTAGTGAATAAGTAACATAAGGTGTAGAGTTCACAGGACACTTAAGGTAAACCTCAGACTATGCAGGCCAGTTTGTTATTGTACACTTAACTATGTTAATCATCTGTAGTCTACCTATGGGCAACAGGATGCAGGCGATATCCCAAGATAAACATCATAACAGCAGAATGTGAACTACTGAAAACTGCAAAAATGCAAAGTCATGAAAATAGCCTGTGACCCCATGCAGAACAGCATTTGAATTTTTAATTGAAAACACTCAACAAAAGCTGCGTCAATTGCTTGCAGACATGTTACTCAATAAACAGGCAAACACCAGCCAAGCAATTTCAAAATACTGAAGATGATGTATACATCCTGATGCCAAGAGTAGAAACACAGCGGGGTATTTCAGCCTCCTAATAGAAGACAGACGTCTGGCCACAGGACTCCCGCCAAATTGCAGTGAAGGCAAACAACTGCACCACGGAATGGAAACTTCATTTCCACTCTTTTTCCTTTTGGCCTCTCTGTCTATCTCTCTCTCTCTCTTTAATAAACAAACGTTAGCCTAGTCCTATAACTAAATTCCCGCATTTGATCAAGGCCCATTATGTTAAACTGCAACATGATTGCTGTACCGGCTTGTCGTGTTATTTTCACTCACTTACACACCTGTAATTACAGTGGCTTTAGCTCCTTGGTGATAAAGAGGTGTATAGAGTCAGTAACAATGACTCTATCAGTAAAGAGTGTTTGGGTCCAATCCAAAAGAGTCCTTAACATATGAAGTTAACGTAACCTATTACGAGCTCTGCATTTCACGATTGACATGTCAAAGCGTTTGCATCTTACTGTTACTTGAGCAGTTGCTGCGTCTCGCACAGATACATGGGGTATATATAAAGAGCCCAGGTGGCAGCAGTCCAGGCTCTGTCTGGTATTAAGATGCCTTCTGTCACTGCATTTATCTCGCATTTATGGCCTGATTCTCGCAGATGGGATTTTCCAGCAAAGCACTGCAAATGAGTGCAGCCCAAGAAACTCACATTCCATTATCACATTCCATGAGGACACGGCCAAAATCTCAAGTGAACATTCATGCATTTCACAAGCATGACAGGAACTGTCTCTGGCTTTCCATTGTGTTTGGAGCATAAAAAACTATCAGCATTAAGTCTGGTCCACTCACTCATCCACAAACACCCACTTAAAGGCTGTGGCACACCAAACCATTATCAAAGAACTAACATGACAAAAGCTGACTGTGTTGCTGCCTCACATTGTCTGCATCTGGACCAAAAAGTTGCACTTGAACACATCACAAAGACAGTCAACTAGCACGTACGTTATGCGCCTGTGTGAGACAAGGTTATTTTAGTTTTACATTTTTTTATGTAAATTTGTTTTATTTTAATATCATTTTCAAATTTGCAATAAAATTCCGGGTTTTTTTTGTTTGTTTTATTGATAGTTTTGTTACTTTTAGTTTAGTTTTTATTTTGTGAACACATTTCTATTTAGTTTTTATATAGTTTAGTTTCAGTTTGTTTTAGTTTTAGTAATTAAAGTTTATTAGATTTAACAGATCACTTCCAGAGCGCAGGCCAAAGAAAGACTAATTTAACCTTAGTGATGCAAACGTCCATTAGGCCACGACTTCCCCGTAATTAAAGTTTAGTAGAATTAACAGATCACTTTCAGAGCGCAGAACAAAGAAAGACTTAATTTAACCGACAGGAAGCTGCCTTCAGACTGTTCCATGCTTTCTATTTACAAATTTCTATTTACAATTCGATTTGCAGCGTTGCGCATTATAGCCATTTGCACTGCAGCTGAAGTGAAGTGAATTCAGTTTTATTTTTAATGCTTCTATAGCGTAACCAATGGCCACGTATATACTGCAGAGTTTAAGGAGAGACAATTTAACAGTAAAGGCTTATATTTAAATATGTTCTTTTTATTTTTATAAGCGTGTAGGGCTGCACGATTAATCATATTTTAATCTCGATAACGATATTCACCTTTCTCGATTAATTAAAAACAATCGTCACAATATTGGCCGGCTCGTTATTTATCCTGAAAACATGTTTTTAATTTGGCATTTGCGTTATCTTGCATTGCTAACAAGTCTTCACTAGCGTTCATGCTTGTGGTTGCCAGATGTGAGGAGCTTAGTCCCCAAAACAGAGCTTTTCTCCTTTAAAGGATACACTTTCTGCCCGGTGTTTTACTTAATCTGTGCAATCTGGCAACCCTGTACACGTGCTGACTGATGGCGGAACAAGCGCTGATGATAAGAAAACATACATAGTTTAGCGATCTCTCCACAGCGATATTCTGCTTACATGAAAGTGTCATACAGCCAATGTGTGGTTTTTTCACAAGCCATTTGTGCTGTTTGTGTAACCAAACCTGCCATGATCAAACTTTCACCGAGTTTCAATAATGGATCTATTGTGTTTGGGGAATAAATGCGCTTTTGCTACCTGTGGCAATACAGTGGGGGGAAATGTACATAAATTGGAATTACTGGAAGTTGTATAAGGAGTTTCTACATTTTTTTACCAGTTTTCATAATGTTAATCAGTTGAAAACGGCATGGCAATGTTAGTTTAAGTGTGTATTAACGATCTTTGAGCAAATTTACTGCGCGATCTGAGTGGCTTGTCTCATTACAGCGATATTCTGCTTACATGAAAGTGTTAATACAGCCAATGTGTGTTTTTTCACAAGCCATTTGTGCTGTTTGTGTAACCAAACCTGCCATGATCAAACTTTCACCGAGTTTCAATAATGGATCTATTGTGTTTGGGGAATAAATGCGCTTTTGCTACCTGTGGCAATACAGTGGGGGGAAATGTACATAAATTGGAATTACTGGAAGTTGTATAAGGAGTTTCTACATTTTTTTACCAGTTTTCATAATGTTAATCAGTTGAAAACGGCATGGCAATGTTAGTTTAAGTGTGTATTAACGATCTTTGAGCAAATTTACTGCGCGATCTGAGTGGCTTGTCTCATTTGCGAACAAATTGTCACTTAGAAAATCTAATGTGAATACAGATTACAAAACACTAACCAAAAACACAAGTTTTGTGTTGATTATGTTTACGAAAATAACCTTGGTGTGAAAGGAAATAACTATGAGTAGTTATTACTAGTATATTACAGTTATAGTACATGACTAGTTAGGGCTGGGCGATAAGTCGATAAAGATAATTATCGCGATATAATTTTCCTCGATAAAACGATATGAAGAGTTCGATAAATGTTCGATATAATGTTTATGCGCCAAAAGCGGAAAGAATCAGCTCGACTCATTTGATTCGCGCCACACGAACCGTTTATCCGCTCCGATCAAAGTTCAAACTGCCACGTGGCACGAGCTCACTAGAGCGCAGATGCGTTT